TTGAATAAATATAATAGTATTTCTTAAATAATGAAACAAATAATTATTTTAAAAATAAAGTATAAAAAATAAACCTTACTAGCTTTAATTTTAATAATTAGAAACTCACGCGTTCGTGGAAAAAGGGGACGCATCTGTTGCACACGTGTATAGCTATCAACCGGTGATGAAATATATGTATCTCACTCACGTTGGTACGATATATTATACTCATTGGCTGGTTATACGCATAACATAATTACATATATATGAACATTTTTTTTTTACTTGCGGTTATGTTTTTACTACTACAAAGACAACTGTTAATTACATACGAAATTTTCTTAGTGTTACTCTCACATTTTTAACTGATAAATTCAACGTTTAAAGGAAAAAAAATATGAGATAGGTTTTGAAAATTCTTCAACGAGGTGTTGTGATAGTCAACAAAATTAATATAATGAAAATCATAGGCTCGTTTGTTTAATTTTTTAGAATAATATTATATTTTAAATGCATTTAATCAAATAAGATAAGATTGAGAATATATTTGATACGTTTAATTATTTTAACCTTCACATTTATAATTTAGCTAAACACTTCCCTACAATAAAAGTTATAAATTAACAAAAACATTTGCGTCTACCTAATAATTACTGGCAATGGCCAACACTATCGGACGATGGCCAGAAATCGTCGAAATGGTGCACGATCGACTAGATTGTGCTAGTCGTGCGTCGATTTAGCCTTTTCCGACCAGATCCATCACGGATCAGGCAAAAAAAATGACAAATGTGGCCATTAACGACAACCATATATGTATAACATGTATAAGATGATTTTCTTCTACTCGTGGTATGGGTATACTTTTACTACTAGAAAGAAATGTTAATTGCATGTGAACATTTTTCCGATGTCTACTCCCCATGTTAAAACAATAAATTCAACGTTAAAGGAAAAAAAAAAAAAAAAAAAAAATGAGATTGGTTTTGGAAAATTCTTCAACTAGGTGTTGTGATAGTCAAGAAAATTAAATATAATGAAAATCATAACTAATAACCATATAACAGTATAACACGATTATATTTTATGGACGAAAATGCCCCTTTTGACTATTTCTAAGACCTTAAGCAAAAACTCATTCTTCAACCCTTAAAACACATTTAACTCATTCTCTATAACTACAATCCCTACTAAATTGAAAGATATTTATGTAGATGGATGGTTCGTATTGGTCATTTGGATTAATCTTCAGATGGGGATGTTGAAAATTGAAGGATTTAATGTTTTTGATGAAATTTGGGATGCCTATCGATAGGTTGGGTCGGATTTGGCTGTTTGGGCAACCCAAGGTTGAAGATGACAAAAAATGGCCAATACTAGCTAATATGGGGTATCAGACACTTTTCTAGCCAATAGGGGGTATATATAATTTTACTTGGCCAACACCCGTTCAATCAATATAAAATTATCCTTTACGAAAATCACATATTCTACCTGTAGGTATGAGAAGTGTTTGATACACCCCCTATTGGTTAGTTTCGGTTATTTTTTGTCGTCTTCAACCTTGGGTTGCCCAAATAGGTGAATCCTACTAATTCTGGCCAATATCCGCCGTCGGCCAAAAAACGTAGGTCTCCTATATCATTTTCCACCATCGACAATCGTTAAAACCACCCAAATTCAAACTATTTAACAACAATCAACCCTATCTCACATCCTAAACTAGCAACTCCATCAAAATCCTAAATCTAAAACAATATAACAAAATCTTAAATACAAGTCAAATCAATTGAAATCCAGGGTTAAATTAAATATCAAAATCGGTTTATACGTTAGATTTTTATAGTCTTCAATGGAGGGAATGGTTAGGATGGGTTTGAAGAAAACGTGTGAATGTTTAGGGTTTATTTATATATGAGGGCATTTGTGTCCTTCAAATTTGTGTAATATTAGATTATACAATTTCTCTATAAAGTTGACCATTTTCTGGGTCTCAAAGTCTTGAACAAGAATAATTCTCATAACATGTTCTTTTGGCTAAGAAATAACTTCTAGAAGCCCCATTTTTTTTATTTTTTTGTAGATTGATTCATTCGCACGAATTATAATAAGAAATTGTAGAAATGTAAAGCAAAAATAATCAACTCTTTATAATTTCTTTAATTATAATAATAATAATCAAGTTTAATTTGGACCACCTCAAATGATCGAATTAGACCATTTCGGTCCATCGTGGCTAAGTAACAGAAAACCATTAAAAATTTGGTCCAATATATTTATTATTATGATATCCATATACTTTAATTTATAAGGTTATAATCTTTGGCCATATAAGTGTTTATAACGTTTCACAAACCTGACCGTTGGGCTAACTTTTTGTGGATCGGTAATATAATTTTAATCATGAAATGAGAAAGCCATGACTAATTTGAGGTTGCCAACCGCGTTTAGGGCAAATATTAATTAATTTATATTAAAGGTATTGAAAAGTCTGACCCCTTGCTTCAAACATCTTCAGTAGGCCGCTTAAATTGATTAAAACAACTTCTTGTCTTCTAAATAGACGACAAATCAAATACAAAAATACTCTGGAATTGCAGTTACACGTAAATGGGCAGAAAAATGGAAGCAAAAATGAAGCTTTTAGCTGTTCCAATTCATTCCTCTTCTTCTTGGCAATGATTCATAGGGCAGGAAGAGCTTTATCCAAAAGCAGAAGCAGAAGGTGGAAGTGCTTGTAGCTTTTGAAGAAAATGGTGAAACCCACTATATATTTTTTAACCAGGTTTTCAAAGGGTTTATAATTAAGAAGAAAATGTCCATTGTATATAAATCTTTAGATCATAAACCATGCATTGATTTGTGTGACTGAAATCATGGAGCAATGATCAGATGGTTTAGAGCTAATCAATCAGCGTTTAAGATCATAATAATAATGACCCCATTAACAGACTTAAAAGCACCGATCGATTGGTTGACTAGTAATACGTGCCAACGACGACACGCGTTTAATTTCTTCTAGTTTCCTCGTCAATGGCTTCCCTGGTTACCACTTTCAACTCTGAGTTGAACATGGGATGATTGATGTTGTTGGCCCCATCGAAGATTTTTGTTGAAGAAGAATTGATGAAGAGGATAAAGGGTTTTGACGAATGAGACATTAAAAAACGAATTTGAAAGATCTGGAGAGGGTACAGACGGGCAGGATCCATTTATTATTTAATCAAAGTACAAATTGATCTTAATTGGAAGACAATGTAATCACTAATTAAGTAATTATTATTTAGTCTACATAATTAGAATAAGATTTGTGGGCAGAAGAAGACTTTTTATTATAGCGTTTATATATATATATATAATTTGTGTGGTTCAAGTCAATTTACGTGTATTTTGATTAATCTTTTGAGGTTTTGAAGTTAACTTGACTAACCTTTCGAGATTATCCTTATTAATAACTGAGAGAGAATAATATGTGAAAGAGTTTATATTGGTTATTTTTTATTTATTTTATATTAGTTGTCACCCATTTTACAATCATTATTGTTCATCTTAATTGGGATGAGTTGTGGATATGATGTGACCAGATATTGTAATTAATAATTATTTAGTCAATATTTAATTATTTTCTCAAGGAAAAAGAAAATTTAAGGAGATTAATTTGTAAAAAAAAGAAAAAACCTTGTTAATTAATCAAATTGAGGGTAATGTTTTAAAGCCATGCATGGGATGGGAATATCAGAGAAACGAGGCCGTTGATTATCACCATCACGTAACAAGTTACCAATGACTATTGACTAATTGGAAGATGGACGGTTCTGATTGGGTCGGCGGTGGTCTTTCACAGACAAAAATCATGAACCCCCTTTCTTTACGTTATGGGAAATAGGAAGGTGTAATTCTATTTCCAATAATGTGAGTCGTGTTAACGCGGATAATTTCTACGTAGTGACACGTGGCAGCTAATGAGAAGGCAGGAACGTGAAAGACAGTTACGTCGTAAGACGCTAATAGAAGATCACAGCCGTCAGTTGTGTTGGCAATGGAACCACGAAGAAATTGAACTGAAGTCACGCTACAGACCCACAAAAGAAAAGAGCAAAGTGAAAACTTGTTTTAGAAAAATAATTACTTAATTAAAAGGTGAAATTGCTATTTATTCAATGATTATAAATTAATGTTGACATGATATTGAAGAGGTGGGAAACAATTATAAATTCTTTAAACTAAAGATTTCCCATATAAGATTTACATTCTCACTTTATTATTATGTAAAAGTAACAATTTTTAGGTAACTTTTTGTGGTTGTTATTAAAGTGTAAACTTTCAAAATTAATTTCTTTTACAAAAATTAAACTTTAGAGTCGTGAGAGATTAGAGATTAATTAAAATACGTACAAGTTGACATTGATACTATCGATTATCAAAAAATAATAATAATAATAATAAATCAAAATTTTATTTTGAAACTTTAATATATTTTACCGGAAAAAAATAATCAAAATTTTATTATAAAACTTTAATAGATTTGATAAAAAAAAATGTATTTAAAATCCTTTGTTAGAACTCCTTCAAAGGAGAAGCGGAAGTTGGCCGGACACTATAAGCCACCCAAAAAAAAATATTAATAAAAAAATCAAAATTTTATTCTAAAACTTTAATATATTTCAACAAAAAAAAATCAAAATTTTATTATAAAAATAATAAAACTTTAATATATTTGATTAAAAAAAGTAATTTCAAAATTGACGAACGAAACTGGGGAGCAAGTTAAAGAGAGAGAGGCAATGATTGTTAGGAGAATTGATGATCCAATGAAGAAAAAGTCAAATATAGTTCCAAGAAATTTAATAAAAAAAATCCTTTTAAATTAAATAATTAATAAATGCCAATCATTATCATATCAGTTTGGCCAATATTGCCGTTCCCTTCCCCCTCCTCTTTACTCTTCTTCTTCTTCTTCTTCTCTTTACTCTTCTTCTTCTTCTCCTTCTTCCCGTTTAAGCAAAACCACCATGAAGAAGAAACACTCATAATGCACGCATTCATCAAACAACAGAGAAGAACATCAAATTCCACAAGGAACGTCAAAATATACATGAATGAATCCATTTCACTCTTCCATTCTTCTAAATATTATAATAATAATAATAGAAATAAAAACACAGCTTAAACATCTAATCATCAAACCACCTTTAACGAAAATTAGTTCTCAACTTTCTTATATATTATACAGCAAACGAGCGACCCTAAAATGATAAAAAAAAACCACCATAGAAACCTCAAATGCATCAAATTGAAGGGAATATAGTATTTATACTTGTTGTACGTAGACATAAATCCAAATCTTGAGCTTTCTGACGCGGTGAAGTTAGTGGAAACAGAGTCAATAGCTCCGGCGGCTCGCTTCCTCTTGGTGTACTTAAAGGTGATGGGTGCAAGTAAAATCCCTTTTCAGCAATGGCTTTTTCTTCTTCTGAAAGAGCGGGAGATGACGGTGAAGCCGTGCCTGAACTCGGGAAAAACAAAGAATCAGACCCAAGTGGAGTTACCGGGCTGGGAATCGGTGAGTCGACCCGGTGAGCTTGACGTGGAGAGTGATGATTTGTTGGTGTACGGAGAGTGGTGAGACCGAGCTTGATTTCCAGCTTTCTCGTGGTGTGCCTACGTTCTTGAAGCTTGAAAGGCGACCGGCGCGGGGCGGTTGGATCAACGGGTATGGCGGGTTTAGAAGGGAGTCGAGAAGAAGGGTGGGTAGTAGTGACGGGTAGTTTCTCAGAGTCAGAACTGGTCAAGCCGGTCAGCTTTTGGACCAAGTCTCTGAAAGTGTTAGCATCTGCTTGAACAAAAGTGGTTGGCGACGGCGACGACGGCGAAGAAATGATGGTGTGGTGGTGGTGGTGGTGATGGTGGTGCCTTTCCATTTTGTTGGAGTCTTGGAGATACCAAGTCCAGAGAGAAACTGAAGTTGATGGGTTTATCTGAGAGAGAAGAAATTTTTTTTCAAGATTTTGGGGGACAGAAAGAGATTTAAAGTCAGCTTTAGAGACTGTGTCTGCGTGTACTATTCGACTTTAAATCTCTACATATGAATTCATTAATATGTAGATTAGTATTAGTGTATATTTACGACTATTGAGGACTGGGTATAAACGAGAGGGACTTTTTGGGTTATATATTTTCTTATGTAAATTGATTGAAGTTTCAAGATAATTTTAGAATTTGAAATTTTCAATTTCTTCTACCAACATGTTTCCACACGTTTACATATGATTAAAACAAAATCTTATTCAAAAACGTTTATTATTATTATTATTATTATTTTTTACAATATAAAAATTTTCAATCTATCATAAGTTTCATTAAATGAGTTCAAACTATTGAAGCCCGTTTATCATAGTATCAGACCCACTATTATTGGGATGATGGTAGGTCTTGGAGGGTTTGGACCTTGGTTGTGCACGCCAAACGTGAGGGACAATGTTAGAAGTTAAAATGTCTCATATCGCAATCTTATTGGACTCTTATAGTGTATATATCTAGCTAGATATGTCGCGTATTTGTTTTCATGTAGTTATATGTATGAAACAAAACAAAATTTTATTCAAAAATTGTTTTGGATTTTTTTTAATAATATAAAAATTCTCAATTTATCCTAAATTTCAATAAATGAGTTTGAAAACGAAACCTTATCAAAACATAACATGGGTCTAAAACTTGAATCTTATAAGAACAAACCGCATGCTTAATACTATGTTTTTTGACTATTCAAAGCTAGTTTTTTATTTTAAATGTGTTAATAATAAATAAATAATTAAATACTATGATTTTTTGACTATTCAAAACTAGTTTTTTATTTTAAATGTGTTAATATTAAATAATTAAATACAAGTTGAATAACGAAAATGATGCAAGCATGTTTGTTTGAGGCGGTATGATTTGTATGAAGTGGCTGGCAGTCCGATAAAACTGTGGGCTGTACAATTGACTCTATTAGTATTAAATAGTAATAAATAGAGTTATTAAAATCTTGAATTCGATTACGTTTCAACCAATTTGAATTAAGAAAGCGTTTATCGTACGAAGCCACGCGTCACCCTCAGCCATTTATACTTTAACGGTGTACTAAAATTTGTACTATCTTATAATATAAATTATTGGATTAATTCATTATATTATATATTTTATGCCCCCCCATACCTTAATGAACTATTCTACTTACTTCGATTTATAAATGGAGAGAATGACATTTTCCCACCCAGGCTTTGGCGAAACGACCTTTTTTCAGCCTTTTCTTAGGTTTTGTTATGTTTTTTATTAATATTTTATTAAAAAGATAAAAAAAATTTTAAATATTTTATTTTATAAATTTTTTAATTAGTCAAAAAATCAAATATTAAAAATTTAAAAAAGAAAAAATAATTAACTTCACTTAAAAAGTTAGGAATAATACTATAAAATTGTTTAAAGTTAAATAATCTTAATATTTATTTATAATGTCATCAATATCTCATCACTATTGTTTATAATGTTTTTTATTTTTACTGATTAACATAAAAAATCAATATTCCTAATTAATTAAATAAACAAAGAAAAAAATGTATCTTTATACTTAGATTAATAAATAATCGAATAAAGATTTTGAATTAATTAAATTTTAATTTATAATAAACTAATTAAGAAATAAAATATTTAAGGGTATTTTCGTCTTTTTAATCAAATATTAACAGAAAACACTAACAGAACCTAACAAATGGTGAAAAAATGTCATTTTGAAACTTGATGGGTGAGAAAGTACCGTTTCATCAAACCTTGGGTGGGAACACGTCGTTCTCCCTTTATAAATAATATTAACAATAGTTTTTATATCTTATAATTATTTAAGTTGTGCAGCGAAAATGGAATCTTGTGATGATGAAATTCGAAGTTTTTCCTACTTCGGTGGTATGTTTTTACTACTACAAGACAACTGTTACTAGAATACTATTAGATTTTGATAGTATTTAATAGGATGGATTTGAGAATATTTGATACTTTTTAAAAACATTTTTAAGTATATTAGATTATTTAACCTCTACATTTATAATTTGCTAACATCCTCTATAATAAAGTTTATAAATTAACAAAAACATTGTCAACCAATAATTCCTAACATTGGCCACTATTGACGATGGCAGAAGTCGAAAGTACGCACGATTGGTTGATCTGACGTCGACTCGATTTAGCTTTTTGACCAGATCACCACGATCGCAAAAAAAAATCAAAATCTACCATAATGACCCATATATGTATATATATGATTTTCTTCTACTGGTGGTATGGTATACTTTTACTACTAGAAAAAAATTGTTAATTGCATGTGAACATTTTTCCATGTCTACTCTCACATGTTAAACAATAAATTCAACGCTTAAAGGAAAAAAAAAAAAATGAGATTGGTTTTGGAAAATTCTTCAACTAGGTGTTGTGATAGTCAAGAAATTAAATATAATGAAAATCATAACTAATAACCATATAACAGTATAACACGATTATATTTTATGGACGAAAATGCCCCTTTTGACTTTCTAGCCCTTAAGCAAAACTCATTCTTCAACCCTTAAAACCCATTTAACTCATTCTCTATAACTACAATCCCTCTAAATTGAAGTATTTTAAGATGGATGGTTCTATTGGTCATTTGGATTAATTTCGAGGGATGTTGAAAATTGAAGGTTTTAATGTTTTTGATGAAATTGGGATGCCTTTCGTGGGTTGGGTCGGATTGCCGTTTGGGCAACCCAAGGTTGAAGATGACAAAAAATGGCCAATACGTCTAATATGGGGTATCAGACACTTTTATAGCCAATAGGGGTTATATATTTACTTACCAACACCCATCATCAATATAAAATTATCCTTTGAAAATTACATATCTCCCTATAGGTATGATAAGTTTTTGATACCCCCTATTGGCGATTCGTCATTTTTTTTTGTCGTCTTCAACCTTGGGCTACTGAAATCGTTGAATCCTAAATCTAAACCCATAACACAAATCTTAAATACAGTCAAACCAATTGAAATCCAGGATTAAATTAATATAAAATTGGTTTATACGCTAATTTTATAGTCTTCATGGAGGGAATGGTTAGGATGGGTTTGAAGAAACGTTGAATGTTTGGGTTTTTTATAGAGGGCATTTGTGTCCTCAAATTTGTGTAATATTGGATTATACAATTTCTCATAAAGTTGACCATTTTCTGGGTCTCAAAGTCTTGAACAGAATATTCTCATAACATGTTCTTTTGGCTAAGAAATAACTTCTAGAAGCCCCATTTTTTTATTTTTTTTAGATTGATTCATTCGCCACATTAATATAAGAAATTGTAGAAATGTAAAGCAAATAATCAACTTTATATTCTTTAATTATATAAAATATAGTTTAATTTGGACCACCTCAAATGATCGAATTAGACCATTTGGTCCATCGTGGCTAAGTACAGAAGACCATTAAAAATTTGGTCCATAATTTATTATTATGATATCCATACTTTAATTTATAAGTTATAATCTTTGGCCTATAAGTGTTTATAACGTTTCACAAACCTGACCGTTGGGCAACTTTTTGTGGATCGTTTTCTATGACATGATATTTTGAGGTTGCCAACCGCGTTTAGGGCAAATATTAATTAATTTATATTAAAGGTATTGAAAAGTCTGACCCCTTGCTTCAAACATCTTCAGTAGGCCGCTTAAATTGTTAAACAACTTCTTGTCTTCTAAATAGACGACAATCAAATACAAAAATACCTGGAATTGCAGTACACGTAAATGGGGTAGAAAAATAGCTTTTTAGGTTGTCCAATTCATTCCTCTTCTTCTTGGCAATGATTCATAGGGCAGGAAGAGCTTTATCCAAAAGCAGAAGCAAGAATGGAAGTGCTTGTAGCTTTTGAAGAAAATGGTGAAACCCACTATATATTTTTAACCAGGTTTTCAAAGGGTTTTATATTAAGAAGAAAATGTCCATTATTATAAATCTTTAGATCATAAACCATGCATTGATTTGTGTGATGAAATCATGGAGCAATGATCAGATGGTTTAGAGCTAATAATCACGTTTAAGATCATAATTAATGCCCCATTAACAGACTTAAGCACCGATCGATTGTTGACTATAATACGTGCCAACGACGACACGCGTTAATTTCTTCTAGTTTCCTCGTCAATGGCTTCCCTTACCACTTCAACTCTGAGTTGAACATGGGATTATGATGTTGTTGGCCCCATCGAAGATTTTTGTTGAAGAAGAATTGATAGAGGGAAGGTTTTGACGAATGAACATTAAAAACGAATTTGAAAGATCTGGAGAGGGTACAGACGGGCAGGATCCATTTATTATTTAATCAAAGTACAAATTGATCTTAATTGAAGACAAGTGTCACTAATTAAGTAATTATTTATAGTCTACATAATTAAATAAGATTTGTGGGCAGAAAAGACTTTTTATTACGTTTATATATATATATTATATATATATATTTTGTAATTGTGTTATGTAGCCAATTTGTATTTTGATTAATCTTTATGTGTTTAAAGTTAATTCGACTAATCTCAGCGATACCTCTCTTATTAATAAAGAAATCGAATAATGTTAATATATGAAAGAGTTTATATTGGTTCATGTTGTTATTTTTATATTTTATATTAGTTGTCACCCATTTTACAATCATTATTGTTCATCTTAATTGGATGAGTGTGGATATGATGTGACCAGATATAATTAATATTATTGTCATATTTAATTATTTTCTCAGGAAAAAGAATTTAAGGAGATTAATTTGTAAAAAAAGAAAAAAACCTTGTTAATTAATCAATTGAGGGTAATGTTTTAAAGCCATGCATGGGATGGGAATTCGAGAACGAGGCCGTTGATTATCACCATCACGTAACAAGTTACAATGACTATTGACTAATTGGAGATGGACGGTTCTGATTGGGTCGCGGTTCTTTCACAGACAAAA